TCAGCCTTGCTTATTTAACTAAAATCCACATCTTTGCAGTCTAAGATAAAATTAAACATGTTTAATTTTGACTATTAAATGTCTTTAGTTTCCCTTAAGATCAAGGTTTCCAAAGTTTACTTAGCATTCCTGCAACTCTCTGAATAATCTTATCCTTCAAACAGAAAAGCCAAGATGAACAAGGGTTCTCATAAATACTAGATATCCTTTTCCATATCACTTCCAGATTCATGCTTAGTTTTATATATATCCCACCTTTTCATGGAGAATTCAGTAAGATTACTTAACCTTGATCACAATTCCCAGCTTCTTCTAGCCAGGATTCCTTTATAATCTGAACCCAGGTTATCTCCTGGCAGCTGCTAAAAAGGGTCAGGCCAACTGTCCCTCTTCTATAGCAACATCTCTTTTCTCCTCTGGACTTCTCAAGAATTTCACCTCTTCCCAAGTGGAGAGGCAGGGAAAGCCTGGCCTCCCCATCCTTCTTCCTTTGCGACGTGTGGGCGAAGCACTGAAGCCTCTCTATCAACCTGTCACATCAACTGAAGCTGCTCTACAGATGCCTTTGAAGGTAAATCACTTTAAAAGGATCTTCATCATTTAAAAATCTGAGCCAAACAAAAATTTTGCAGGCCTAATTTATGTATTTAGGAACAAAAAGAAAACATAGTGACTTGGAAAAAACAGGTGTGAAAAGGATTAAGGCATCTTAAAATAATCAGATGCTGAACATGAGCTAAAAAGGCTATCAGTGTATTAGCACAAGAATGCTGCTTTCAGATCTGGGCACCATATTTTAAGAAGAATTTTGAGAAATTAGTCAGAGGACTTAAAACCAAGAGCTGAAGAAGATGGGAGTATGTGGCTGAAATGGAGATTAAGAGAAGTCTTCAAAAAAGCAGAAAGTCTGTTATGTCAAAGATGAAGAGAGAAAACTTTTCTATTGCTCTGGAGTTCTGGATGAGAAGCAAGGGGTGGAGACTGCAGAGAAGCAGACGTTGGCTAAACAGCAGGAAACATCTCTAGTAAAGAGAAAGGACTTGGGCAGAGGCGAGAGAGCTGGGACCCTGGAGCAACCACCAGGACAGTGAGGCAAGCAAACAGCCATCCGGAAGCTCTTCTGCCACATTCTCAGCCCCCTGATTCCTTGAAAGGCTGTCGCACTGTGAACTTTGATCACACAGCACCCAAGGCTGGGAGAAGAGCTAATGGGTAGAAATTTATCGGGGAGATCCAAACTGGAAATACATGAATATTTCCTGACTACAGAAGCTACCGAGCAGCGGCCCCACCTGCTCCCGGGATCATGGGAACCTTAAAGCATTTTGGGGGGGATGTTCAGGATTCCTGCCCTTAGCAGGAAGTTGGACTAGAAGGACTCCAAGTCCCTTCCAAACTTAGGATGCTATCAGTCAAGAACTGCCACCAGAATATAGTAAGAATAGAAACATTTGTAAATTGATCAACTGGACACTTGAAAGCCAAGGACCAGCCCCAGATGTCTGGGCCAAGGAAGCACCATCTGCAAAGCTCCAAAGGCCCAGGTCGACCAGGTTTCCAGGGAAAGCTCATGAGGTCCTTGCCTCCCCTGGAGCTGCTATTAGTTACACATCCTGAGCCAATGGCTGAGCTGGAAGGGCCCTCATGGCCTTGCGTGTGCCAAAAGTGCTGGTGGTCCACTGAGTGACCGGAACGCCTAAACATCAGCCTGGCTCCTTCTCTGGAGCTGGAGCTGAATGGCCTACCACACGGGAGTGGGAAGGGAGGATGAACAATTAGCACAGATGCTGACCCTGCCCTGAGAGACAGCAGCAGCAGCTGAACAGGATGGACCACAGCGGAGGGCAATCAGGCAGACCCCAACCCTCTTCCTTCACGGTTAGTCACAGGAATCCCAAAACAAATCCCTAGAAGAGGAAGCATTCTCAAACCAAACACTCCAGAAGGAAGCTTATTAGCCTTGAAGCACAATCGTCAGTAAAGACGAATACACTGGTTGTAGTAATCCGCAAAAACCAATGAAATAAACCAGCTGAATTTTGAAATGCCATAAGATTTTATCATAAAGTCCTCATAAATGTTTTCCCTAAAACTGGGAGGGGGGGGGTTAATAACCCTTCCCCAAACTGAATGTGGCTCTGAGTGTTCAGTTGTTCACCTGATCTACATAACTTAAGATATGCAAATTAGTAGGGGTTTCATACTGTGGATTTTTAAAGTGGTAAGGCACCGGAGTCACCATGTGCAAGTGGGGTAGTCACAGAAATTTGTTTAATAAACAAACTTGCTTTACTTGCCCTGTATAACGTCTTCTGCCTTGTCCTCCCCACCCTATCATAATCCATTTAAGACTTCGGTACAAGAGCAAACCAGCCCCCAAAGTGAGCTGTGTTCAGAACTCCAGATTCATCCTAAACTGCTCCAGATGTTCTCATCTCTTGCTTAGCAGACTTCCTGCTACAAGTCCAGACTGGAGCTAGGAAGATAACAAACCACATACGGTGGTTGGCAGAACCACCAAAGACTGCGGACTTCAATTTGCATCACCCGCTCAGCTTATGGGATCCGGCCCATTTGGTCCCTTTCAAGCGTCATGTAAACGCAGTATCAGTTCAGTCATCAAGTAAGGCATTGGGGGGGGGGGCTACACAGCCAGACCATGGTTACTCCCCCCAGCAAAAGAAGAGCAGGCAAAGCAGCTCAAGGGAACTTCCGGTGAATCCCCTGGCAGAGTCCAACTGCTGGGAATCCTGGGTGGGTCTCAAGAGCTCAATCTCAGCACAACAGAACAGTTATGAGGCCTTCCCTGCATTTTCCATGGGTAGATTCTTGGCCAGGTTTTATTTTACTTAGAATCTATGAAAAGAAACACCATCAAAATACTGATAAATAAAGCAGATTTTACATCTTAAAAATGTTATTTTAAAAGACACTTCAGTGAGAATCCTGGGACTGGAGAAAAACTTCCACGCTGAAAAGCAGCTCAGGGCCATCTTCGTTCCCTTTCTCCCTCTTCTTCGTGTTTTGGGGGGGGGGGGGTTGTAACTTGGCCACCTGCAGCCACATTGGAAGACAACACTTTTTGAGAAAGGGACCTTCATTTGGAGACCAGGTGAGGCTCCTAAGAAGATGCAGAGAAACCCTCAGAAGCAGTGGTGGGATTCCAAAACTTTTACCACTGGTTTGGTGGGCGTGGCTTGGAGATGCACTTTGTGCATGTGCACATACTTTGCGTGTACACGTGCACCAAACACAAACTTTGCACAGGCAGAGGCGTTCCAACTCACCTCCTGCAAGCCTGCACTCTCCTGGTCGCCTTAGGAGCTGCCGTGCAGCAGCAAAGCAGCTGCACTTGAAAAGAGGGGAATAAAGGTCAGTAGGGGAGCCTGGGCAGGCAGGTGGGCCCAACCGCAGAGCAGTGGAGAGAACTGGTTCTGTCTCTGCTGCTCATCGCTGCTACTGGCTCTGCAGAACTGGGCTGAACCAGTAGCATACCACCACTGCTCAGAAGTGAACTGGAGCAGCCTTAGAGACCCCATGCTGCACTTGTAATCATTTAGCCTGGGCCAAAATTGACCCAGAGTAGCCATTCTGGAGAGGCTGTGGCGGGGCTCTCCAATTACAGCCCACGTTGGACAGCAGAACCTGGCTCCAGCTCCCTGGGCCCCTTTTTTGGCCTGATCTGGGCAGTTTTGAGTAATCCAGGGTAGGAAATACATTGCACCCAGCAGTTCCTCTCGTCTTGTAGGAGGAAACATATAGGTATATTGACCCAGGCATTACATTGATTACTCATGTAAGTTAAGGAAAAATGTATACGTAAAACTTACCTATATGAAAGAAGGGAAAGCCTAGGCCAGAATTTCTGAACCGCCCGCTCCCTCAGAGTTATCCCAGGATGGCCCTGGGCATCCAGCAGAGAACAGCTGGCCAACCTGGGAGGGGCAGCTCTCCGCTCCGGTGGCAGCAAGAGAACTGAGCCCTTCCCAAGGACCAGCCGGCCTGCTTGGCCTGCTGGAGGCCCTCACGCGCCTCACCTCCCGCCCCGGGAAGAGGCATCCACCACTGACCGCTTTGGGTCCTTGCCTTCTTGCCCTCCTGGGCGGAGGGGCCCACAACTCATCAACTGCGCCGGCTGCCGAGGGGCAACAACTCGGGCCAACTGCCCGCTATTGGGGCCTCTCAAGGGAGGCAGTTTGGGGCAGGGAAGAGACGCGCGCGTGCGGGAAAGGGGGCAAGAAGGCCCAGCGCCGAGCCGGAGCAGCAGCCCGCCAGGGCCCCCAGCGCGGTCTCTGCACCGGGCAGCGCGCCAGCAGGCCGCAGCCCCAAAGCCAAGGCGGCGGCGGAGGTCGCGGGAGTCCCCGGCGGAGCCCCTCGCAGGAACAGGGAAGGCAGCGCGGCCTCCCTCGGCCGGCCCAGGGCGCAGATGCTCTGCGGCGAAGGCGACACTGTAGCGCTGCCCCCCACCAGCAAAGGGCCCGGCGGGCGAGCGCGGGGAAGCCCCCAGCGGGGGTCCGGCCCCTCCCAGCCCCCGGCGCCGCCCCAACATCCCCGCTCCCGGCCGCACCTGTGCAGGGCGGGCGGGGGGGCTCCGGCGAGGCGAACCCCCTGGGCCAGGGCGGCGGCGGCGGCGGCGGCGGCGGGAGGGCCCGAGAGCCGTCCCGAGGCCGGGCGCGGCGTCTGCGGCTCCTTCAGGCAAGCGGCAGCCCACCCCCCGCCCGGGTACGAGGGGCTCCGGAGCGCCCCCGGCTCGAGAAGGCGCTGCCCGCGGTGACCAGGGCTCTCTGCCCCGCCCAGCACCGGGAAACGGGACCGGCGCCTCCCCGCAAGCTGCGAGCCGGGCCGCCCCGAAGCCCTGGCTGCGTCGGCCAGAGGGGCGGCGGCGGCAGGGCGAGTCCGGACGGGGGCGCCCAAGACCCGCAGAGCCCGCCGCCCCGCCGCCCGCCACGCTCCCCTCAAGCTGCCCCTCCCCAGAGGCGCCCTCGCTGCGCGCCGCTCACCTTCATGTCGTTGACGATGGCCTGGAAGAGGCCGCCCAGCGCCCCGCATTCCTTCTCCGCCGCCTCCATGGCCGCCCGCCCGTCCGTCCGCCCGCCCGCCCGCCCGCTTGCTCCGTTCCGCTGCGCTGCTGCGACGCGGCGGGCGAGGCTCTGCGGCGGCGGCGGCGGCGGCGCGCCCGCTCGGTCACTTCCCGGCCGGGGCGGCTGGCGGCGGCGGCGGG